CCCCCCCAACCCCCCCCCCCCCCCGGTCACCATGGCCGACAAGCCAATCAACTTCTCCGAGCATGTGCAGCTCACAAACGTCGGCATCGCTGCCGACAGCATCTCGTTCGCAAACGTAACCCTCGAATCCGAAAACTTCGTCTGCGTCCGCGAGAGCATCAACGGCACCAACTCGGTCGTCATCGTCAACCTCAACGACGTCAGCGATGTCATGCGCAGACCCATCACCGCCGACTCGGCCATCATGAACCCCGTCCAGAAAATCATCGCGCTCAAGTCCGCGCGGCAGCTCCAGATCTTCAACATCGAGGCAAAGGCAAAGGTCAAGTCGCATCTCATGAACGACGACGTCACCTTCTGGAAGTGGATCAACAACACCACCCTCGGCCTCGTCACCGAGTCCGCCGTATTCCACTGGTCCATCGAGGGCGACTCCGCGCCCACCAAGGTGTTTGACCGCCACGTCAGCTTGCAAGGCACCCAGATCATCAACTACCGCGCAAGCCAAGACGAAAAGTGGCTCGTCCTCGTCGGCATCTCGGGCAACACCTCGGGCGCACCCAACGCCTTCCGCGTAAAGGGATCCATGCAGCTCTACTCGCGCGAACGCGGCGTCTCCCAACCCATCGAGGGCCACGCCGCCGCCTTTGCCGAGCTCAAGTCCGACGCCGCCCCCAACCCCTTCAAGCTCTTCACCTTTGCCAACCGCACCGCCACCGGCGCAAAGCTCCACGTCGTCGAGATCGACCACCAGAACGGCCAGCCCGCCTTCACAAAGAAGGCCGTCGACGTCTTCTTCCCGCCAGAGGCCACCAACGACTTCCCCGTCGCCATGCAGGTCAGCAAGCGCTACGGCATCGTCTACCTCGTCACAAAGTACGGCTTCATCCACCTCTACGACCTCGAGTCCGGCGCCTGCATCTACATGAACCGCATCTCCGGCGACACCATCTTTGTCACCGCAGAGCACGAATCCACCAGCGGCATCATCGGCATCAACCGCAAGGGTCAGGTCCTCTCCGTCTCGGTCGACGAAAACACCGTCATCCCCTACATCCTCAGCACCCTCAACAACTCCGACCTCGCCTTCAAGCTCGCCTCCCGCGGCGACCTCCCCGGCGCAGACGACCTCTACCTCCAGCAGTTCCACTCGCTCTTCTCCACCGGCCAGTACGGCGAGGCCGCAAAGATCGCCGCCAACTCGCCCCGCGGCATCCTTCGCACCTCCCAGACCATCGAGCAGTTCAAGCAGGTCCCTAACCAGCCAGGCACCCTCTCCCCCATCCTCCAGTACTTTGGCATCCTCCTCGAAAAGGGCTCGCTCAACAAGTTCGAGTCCCTCGAGCTCGCCCGCCCCGTCCTCAACCAGGGCAGGAAGCACCTCCTCGAAAAGTGGCTCAAGGAGTCCAAGATCGAGTGCAGCGAGGAGCTCGGCGACATTGTCCGCCAGCACGACATGAACCTCGCCCTCAGCGTCTACCTCCGCGCCAACGTCCCCAACAAGGTCGTCGCCTGCTTTGCCGAGACCGGCCAGTTTGACAAGATCGTCCTCTACGCCAAGAAGGTCGGCTACACCCCCGACTACGCAGCCCTCCTCCAGCACATCGTCCGCACCAACCCCGAGAAGGGCGCCGAGTTCGCCACCAGCCTCGTCGCCGACGACGCCGGCCCGCTCGTCGACATCGAGCGCGTCACCGACATCTTCATGAGCCAGAACATGATCCAGCAGGCCACCAGCTTCCTCCTCGACGCGCTCAAGGACAACAAGCCCGAACAGGCCCACCTCCAGACGCGCCTGCTCGAGATGAACCTCGTCAACGCTCCTCAGGTCGCCGACGCCATCCTCGGCAACGACATGTTCACCCACTACGATCGTCCCCGCATCGCCAACCTCTGCGAGAAGGCCGGCCTCCTCCAGCGCGCCCTCGAGCACTACGAGGACAACGCAGACATCAAGCGCGTCGTCGTACACACCAACCTCCTCCAGCCAGACTGGCTCGTCTCCTACTTTGGCAAGCTCACCGTGGAACAGTCGCTCGAGTGCCTGCGCGAGATGCTCAAGGTCAACATCCGCCAGAACCTCCAGGTGGTCGTCCAGATCGCCACAAAGTACTCGGACCTCCTCGGCCCCGTCAAGCTCATCGAGATGTTCGAGTCCTTCAAGTCGTTCGAGGGCCTCTACTACTACCTCGGCTCCGTCGTCAACCTCTCCACCGACCCCGAGGTCCACTTCAAGTACATCCAGGCCGCCACCCGCACCGGTCAGATCCGCGAGGTCGAGCGCATCTGCCGCGAGTCCAACCACTACAACCCCGAAAAGGTCAAGAACTTCCTCAAGGAGGCAAAGCTCTCGGACCAGCTGCCGCTCATCATCGTCTGCGACCGCTTCGACTTTGTCCACGACCTCGTCCTCTACCTCTACCAGAACATGCTCATCAACTTCATCGAGGTCTACGTGCAGCGCGTCAACTCGTCGCGCACCCCGCAGGTCATCGGCGGCCTGCTCGACGTAGACTGCGACGAGGGCGTCATCAAGAACCTCCTCCAGTCCGTCACCGGGCCCATCCCCGTCGATGAGCTCGTCGACGAGGTCGAGAAGCGCAACCGCCTCAAGCTCATCCTCCCCTTCCTCCAGTCCAAGGTCGAGGCCGGCTCCCAGGACCAGCCGCTCTACAACGCCCTCGCCAAGATCGCCATCGACAGCAACAACAACCCCGAGGCCTTCCTCAAGGAAAACAACCTCTACGACCCGCGCGTCGTCGGCAAGTACTGCGAGAAGCGCGACCCCTACCTCGCCTACATCGCCTACGCCAAGGGCTTCTGCGACGATGAGCTGATCGCCATCACCAACGACAACTCCATGTTCAAGCACCAGGCGCGCTACCTCGTCAAGCGTCGTCAGCTCGACCTCTGGGCCCAGGTGCTCACCTCGGACAACGTCCATCGTCGCCAGCTCGTCGAGCAGGTCGCCTCCACCGCCGTCCCCGAGTCCACCAACCCGGACGACGTCTCGGCCACCGTCAAGGCCTTCATGGCCGCCGACCTGCCGCACGAGCTCATCGAGCTGCTCGAAAAGATCATCCTCGAGCCGTCGGCGTTCAGCGACAACCGCAGCCTCCAGAACCTCCTGCTGCTCACCGCCGTCCGCACCGACAAGGGCAAGGTGATGAACTATATCGACCGCCTCGACGGCTACGATGTCGAGGAGATCGCCAAGATCGCCATCGACCACGGCCTCTACGAGGAGGCCTTCCGCATCTTCTCCAAGGCCGAGCAGCACGAGGACGCCATGAACGTGCTCGTCGAGCACATTGTCTCCATCGACCGCGGCCAGCAGTACGCCAACAAGCTCAACCAGCCCGCCATCTGGTCGCGCCTCGGCAAGGCGCAGCTCGACGGCCTGCGCGTCAAGGACGCCATCGACTCGTACGTCAAGGCCGAGGACCCGTCCAACTACGACGAGGTCATCGAGATCGCCGAGCACGCCGGTCGCGAGGAGGAGCTCATCCGCTTCCTCCAGATGGCGCGCAAGAAGGCGCGCGAGCCCAAGATCGACACCGAGTACGCCTACTGCCTCGCCAAGGCGAATCGTCTGGGCGACATGGAGGAGTTCCTCGCCATGACCAACGTCGCCGACATCCTGAGCGTGGGTGAAAAGTGCTTCAACGACGAGCTGTACGAGGCCGCCAAGCTGCTCTTTACGAGCGTCTCCAACTACGCGCGCCTCGCCACCACGCTCGTCTACCTGGGCGACTACCAGGGCTCCGTCGACGCCGCTCGCAAGGCGGGCAACACGAGCGTGTGGAAGCAGGTGCATGCGGCGTGCCTGAGCAAGCGCGAGTTCAAGCTGTCCCAGATCGCCGGTCTGGCCATCATCCCGCACGCCGAGGAGCTGCCGGGCCTCATCAAGGCGTACGAGAACGAGGGCTTCTTTGACGAGCTGCTCAACCTGCTCGAGCAGGCGCTCGGCCTCGAGCGCGCCCACATGGGCGTCTTCACCCAGACGGGCGTGGCGCTCGCCAAGTACCGCCCCGAGCGTCTCATGGAGCACCTCAAGCTGTACTGGTCGCGCTCCAACCTGCCGCAGCTCATCAAGGTGGCCGAGCAGTGCCACCTGTGGTCGGAGCTGGTGTACCTGTACACCAAGTACGACGAGATGGACAATGCGGCGCTCGCCACCATGGAGCATGCGGCCGACGCGTGGGACCACGACCAGTTCAAGGCGGTGCTGCCCAAGGTGGCCAACGTCGAGATCTACTACCGTGCGCTGACGTTCTACCTGGAGCAGCATCCGCTGCTGCTGAACGATCTGCTCACGGTGCTGGCCAAGCGCATCGACCACGGCCGTGTGGTGCGTATGTTCAAGAAGAAGGACAACGACAACGTGCCGCTGGTGCGCAGCTACCTCATGTCGGTGCAGCACCACAACCTGGAGGCGGTCAACGATGCGTACAACGACCTGCTGATCGAGGAGGAGGACTACGAGACGCTGCGCTCTTCGATCGATGGCTTTGACAACTTTGACGCCATCTCGCTCGCGGGTCGTCTGGAGAAGCACGAGCTGCTCGAGTTCCGTCGGCTGGCGGCGCACCTGTACAAGAAGAACGAGCGATGGGGCGAGTCGATTGCGCTGTCCAAGACGGATAAGCTCTTCCGGGATGCGATCGAGACGGCTGCGACGAGCGGGTCGGAGGAGGTGGCCGAGGAACTGCTGGGCTACTTTGTCGACATTGGCAACAAGGAGTGCTATGCGGCGACGCTGTTTGCGTGCTACGACCTGATCAGGCCGGATGTGGTGATGGAGCTGTCCTGGAGACATGGGCTGGGCGACTTTACCATGCCCTACCAGCTGCAGACGATGCGCGACCAGAACACGCGGCTGCGCCAGCTGGAAAAGGAGGTGCGCGAACGCGCCAAGAAGGACTCGGACAAGGAGAAGCTCGAGGAGGATGCGCCGATCATTGGGCCCGGCGGGCTGGGTGCACCCAAGCTCATCACCGCCGGTGCCACGGGCTTGGCCGGCGCGGGTATGGGCTACCCGAACAACCTCAATGGCGGCATGTACATGCAGCCCACCGGCATGTTCTAGCTGTACACTCTCCTCCTCTTTCACTTTTCCCCTTTCCCTCCCTCCCCCCCTTTCCCCTTGTGATTCGGTTCCCGTTTCGGTTGTTCGGC